TGCCAAAATCAGAACAGAGTTCCTTTTTCAGTCCCACCACCCCACAAATGATGGAGCCCAGACAGGCACGGACCCACACAAGAGAGATGGCAACTGTCAGGAAATAAAAATGATAGATTCCCATTTCCTGTATGTTCAACAATCAGTCCATTAAGAAACCACAGGGAGGAATGTGGGCTGAGCTCCAGGTCACCTGAAGATAAAACATTTTCATATGCTAACCTGTTGAATTCCGTCTTTCAAATGAAAATCAGTAGATCCACTGGGTTATCTGGCTAGAAGTAGGTTTGTTCTACACTTCTTTGAAAATTATAAAGAGAAACATTCTACAGGGAACCTACAAAAGAAACGCACAAGCTGATGTTTGTGCAAATTCACACCTTCCCTTCAGAATTGGAATTTTGAAGTGGCTCAATCTGCACAGCAACAGGACGGAGACAGGAATACACAAATAAAAACCTTCTAATAAAATTGTAAAAGTATCCTTCCACTTCCTCCTTACTTTTCCCACTGAAAGTACATTCACCCCCCGTATCACTCCTAATGTCCAAGGCTCAGCATCCTTTTAAAGTCTAGGGGTCAGTTAGGCTGCCAGTCAGGAGTCCTGAAGAATAAACATGTGAGGGGATGGATATGGTAACTAACTAGAGGGTGGCAATCCTTTTAAGTGTGCACATATAAAATCGCCATGATGGATACTTTAAATAGCTTACAATTTTATTTGTCAATTATACCTCAATAAAACTGAAAGGAAACAGATCAGTGGTTGCCAAGGGTTAAGGCGGTGGGGAGTAAGTAGGGGGAGCCCAGAGGATTTTTAGGGCAATGAAAATCTTGTGTCCAATACTGTAATATGTATGATATAGGTCCTTATACATTTGTCCAAACCCACAGAATGTACAACACCAAGCGTGAACTCTAATATAAACCGTGGACTTGTAAGTTCATCGACTGTAACAAATGTACACTCTGGTGGGGGTGGGGATGGTGATGGGGATGGTGAGGGAGGCATATGCAGAGGCAAAGGGTATATGGCCTGTATCTCTGTATCTTCTGCCCAATTTTGTAGTGAACCTAAACTGCTTTAAAAAATAAAGTCTGTTCGAAATTGCTACCTGTATTAAAAAAAAAAAAAGAACTTCTGAAGGAGGCTGATCTTCCTCCAAGCAGCTCTAAATCACCTCTGTTGTTCAGTAATCAGAGGCTAGCAGTGGGGGTGCAAGTCAATTCACTGCCTTTAGACTGAACTGGGCCAGGGGTAATGTGTTTATAAGAATTTCTTTAAAACTACAAATCTGTTTAATACCAACACAACACGCAGCAAAGCCATTCCTGAAAGTGATACTAAAAATATGTGCTGACTGCAGGGAGCTAGGTGTTGGATTAGACACAAGTGACTACAAATGGGCAGGCAGTTTCTCTTCGGAGTGATGAAAATGTTCTAAAATTAGACTGTGTTGAGAGCTGCAAATATATTCAAAATCACTGAATGGGCCAGTTTTATGGTATCAAAGTATACCTCAATGAAGCTTTAAAAAATGTCCTAGAGTCCATATCCTTAAGGCAGTCAGAATTTTTTTAGAGAAACTCAGCAAATTTACTATTAGATTAATTTTCATCTCATGTCAAATGCAAATATCTTTGAAAATCAGCTCAGGATGATCAAAACATGGAAATGACTTACATCTCTACCTGATAATCAGCAAAGGGGCCAAGAAGCCACTCGGCTCCTAGGTTTCTCCCTGGAGGCCGAGGTGCAGGAGGAGAGGCATTTCATTTCATTCAGGACAGGTAACCTCTCCCCAGGGGAATGTTTGTCCAGACCTCAGCCACCAACCACTGAGACAAGCTATGAGAGTAAATCACGTTTTTAAAAAAATCACTCCCTACTCTTTATTCTCTGTCTCTCTCGACTAGGGAATAAAATACCTAGAACATCTTTTAAATGAGCAATAGAAAAGCTTAGAATTCATAAACGGTATCCAGTCAAATAACAGTGCTTGCTGGTTTTTCTTTGTAAAGCTCCCTGAGCACGGTCATTGTACATATGGTCAAAGGCAGGCAGCTGCATGCCCAGTCTCTGACTTGACCTAGAAAGGAGAGGAGTAAACTGGTCAAAGAAGAGCTTGGAATGTCTTTTTAAAAACCACCATAAGATCTGGATCAATGACCCAGAAGTAGGGTGATTATTCTGGTATGCCTGGAACAGTTCTGGTTGATGCCTATCATCCTGGCATAATAACTATGAATAGCCCTCCTGTCACTCTCAATCCTTCCCTGACTTGAACGATAAATTATATGTTCAGCTCTAAAGGTGAACTGGGAGTGGAATGAGTTGTACTGATCCAGGCAGCATGGATCAGTTTTGCTGGGTAAGGCCCACTGGCCAGGGAGCCCACCCTTAGAGCCATCCACCTGCATTTTATGGGGTGACAGAAGTCAAAGATCACTCTACAGTGACCTGCTTAAGTTAACATGGGTGGAGCTGCAAGGCCAGTGCAAGAGCTCCAGTCTTCCAATTTCCCATGTCTGCTGGGACCCCAAGTGTAGCTCTCAGGTTCAGACCACAGCTGTGTTGAAGTAACAACCGCCTCCTATAACAGCTTTCCTCATCAGTCTCTGAAATCTCCTGCTTCCAATATATCGTCATCTACTTGTAAGTTAGACCTCCCACTGGGCCTGGCCTGGATGTGTTTGTTTTCATAGATATTCCTTCATTTAGAATTGAAACCTACACTGCAAACCTGCAATCCATTGCATGAGGCTTTTTTTTTTTTTTAATCGATTTCAAAATAAATCGCATTCACATAGCGAGGTCAAAAGCAGTTCAATCCTAAAGGCATGCCCTCCAGCATCTAGATGTCGGAGGCTGGGTGGCTCTGCTTACCCAGGACTTTAAAGACTTGTTCATTCAGGTATAATAACCTGTGTGGGAGAGGGGCTGATAGCATTTTTTCAGGTTGGTGTAAGTGTCTTTCTGTGGCAGTACAAGCAGCCCATGGGAAAACACTGATAAAGCTGGCGCCCTGCCACTGCGGTTTCTTGTGCAAATGGATATGTAAGTCCTAGCTCTCTCTTGCCTATTAAATGCCACGTGGCTATGGCAAAACAAGAGGTTAATGTCTCTCCTGGCTCAGAGAGATCTATACCAATGCAAAATGTATTGAACACTTGTTTCTTTCCATTCCATACCCTGCTGTTTCTGTAATGTCCCTTGTCCTTACACTAGTGCATTTGAAAGAAAGGGGCCAATTCAAAGACCGGGAGATTTTCTATGGTTTGATATGTTTGGGACTGGGAATCTTCTGGTTAATATGAAGTCACCGTGTAATTCTACTTAATATTTAAGAAGCGCTTCAAGATCCGACCATGTCTTAGACGCATATTAGTGAGGAATTACACTATCTATATTCTCATTAGCTCAAACAGCATTCTGAATAGAATGGCATTAGATAAGAGTTTCCTTTGGGTGTTTAGTGATATTTCCCAGGAAAGAGGGATTAGGGATGTTCTGTCTAATGAGTCACCCAGTTTGGAGAAAAGGGACAGCAGTCTTCTACTACAGCTGCTGATGAACGAGTGTGCCAGGCCCCCTCTGCAGAGAGCATAGCAAAGGCAGGAGAACTGACACCTTGGGGACAGAGGCTGGGCTCCTGTCGCACAGCTCTCCATCGCAGCCTGACAGCAAGTCTCTCCGGAGGAGATGATAGGTCGCCTTTCTCAAATGCTAACTTCCCAACCTCCCTGTAAAAAGCTTATATATGAAAAAAACAAAACCTCTATGTGGTCAACTAGGAAGAAAAACGAAAGCTTCCCACATGAATACTTTGCTGAAATGACAGCACCCAGATATGAGAGCTGCTCCAAGAAGAAGCGTGGCTGTGACTTTTCAAGATTTGTGGTAAGAAGGCATTTCATCTCAGTTTAAAAGTAGTTTCACTGTTTAGTTCTTAATGCTACCCCCAAAAAAGAAAAAAAGAAAACAGGATGAGTTTTATCTGTACTACTAAGCTAACTTCATATCCAAAAGTTAGTAGACACAGGTGCATTCTCTGTCTTTAAGTCCATTTGGGGGAAGATGAGAGCAGACAGCACAGCCTCTGACTATCAAGCACTGACACAGAACCAAAGGCCCACAGGGAAAATCTACAGCTTTTCCGCAAGCTTTTCTTATTCAATGGGCCCTCACTATTCCTTACTTCTGCAATGACAGAACTGAGACTATCCATCAAAAAACGCTCTTTTTCAGTTGTATATATCTGCAAAAATGAATTATATACTTTTGATGAGTGAACTGTATGGCATATAAATGATATCTCAATAAAGCTGTTAAAAATGCTCCGACTTTTTTTCAGCAAAAGTTAAAAAAAAATCACAAATAAGAAAAAATAAAAGTTCCTAGTTTGCTAAACAAGC